GTGATTCGCTGGCTCTGCCCACTGCGGTTTCGTGTTAGTACCTGAGTATAGCTCTCATCAGCCTAGATGTCAAGGAGTGCATGACACAGAAGGAAAGCCACAGGTACCAGAATGCTCTGACTCTGGACCCAACAAATTCCCTGGCTGACTTATCACGTTTGGAGTCTTTGGCACGCATGCAACCATGATGCTGTCTCCTGTCCTTGCTGGCCGCACCTGTGCTTGATTCAACCTTCCCCCCCGAGTACCTGCCACCAAACAGCAAGGTGCACAGCGAACAGGTGCACTCATACAGCTGAAGCCGCGAGGCAGTCGTTCCTCTCAGCCCTGATGCTGCACTGCCTCACAATAAAAGACATCATCCTTGACTTTAGCTGCACTGTGGCTCTGAATGCACAGATTGCGGCCAGTACAAGTAATGACGCTGCACTGCCTCGCAACAGAAGACATCATCCTTGATTGTATCTGCAGTGCAGCTATAGTCACTCTTATTTGATGAGTGTTCTCAATAATCAGTATTGATCAGTTATGCTCTTTAGTATACTATTTAGTAGTCGAGTATATTGTAGAGATTGCTGTCAGTAATGAATGAGTATTCTGGTGTGTGCATGCACAGACCTGCGACCAGTACGTGGACGACAGCCAGACGGAGAGCGGCTTTGCGAGCGGCGGCATCAACATCTACGACATCTACGCGGACGTGTGCGCGCCCGAGCGCGCGACGCTGGAGGCGCGCCAATTTGCGCGCGTGCTGGGGACGGCCGCGCGCGCGGCGGTCACCGAGGGCGCCTCGTCATCGCAGCAGGGCACCGCAGCGCCCTTCGAAACCATGTCGCTCGCGGCCACGGTCTCCCTGCCCGAGCCAGGTGAGCCTTACTTTTTTGATTTTTAGGGTTTATGGCTACATAAGAGTATCTTACACCCTAAAGTCTGAAGAAATAAACCCCAGCAGGGAGGTTACTTATGAAATAAAGAGGGAGGAAATGGTAGTAGCCTCCAGCACACTGCACTTGTCGAACAGTGCGTAGCCTTTGTCTTTTTACTGGATGAAAATTCCTGCGTCCATTGCAAGCAACTGGTGGGTGGTGTATAGCTAATTGCTGCTGCGTAGAGGTTGAGGGAGAAGACCTCAGGACTCTGTCTGTCCATCATCATTGCTCAGCGGACTGTGAGGCTGGAGCGCCTCACACATTGTAATGCTATCAGCATATGTTTGATCCGCACAGCATGGTCAGGAAACTGATGCATTGTGACGTGTGTGGCGCTGTGGTCACAGGCAAGTACGATCCCTGCATCGACAACGAAGTGGAGACCTACTTCAACAGGAAGGATGTGCAGCAGGCGATGCACGCCAACAGCAGCTACCACACGCTACCCTGGGCCTGGAAGGGCTGCTCCGACTATGTTGACTACTCCAGGTGAGCCCCCACAACCTGCTACACCCTTAACCCTAATTAATTTATAACCCTGCAAAAAGAATACAAGAATATAAGACTTCCACGCGCCAGTGAACAGTGCCTCGTCAGCAGGTGCCAATAGCATCTTCCCCAGTCAGACTTGGGTTTTGAACACCTTCTCGCGGTTGATCCCACTTGGATGAGACAAGTGCTGCATCTTCTGTCAGTTGTAGCAGCACTGCGATTTTTGTCCGCACTCAGAAGCTGCGGCAGTCAGGCGCTTGCCAATAGGTCCTGGGCCTGGAATTCTTGATGCAGTGTATGCTATAAGCACTTGCAGTTAATCGGACAAATTTCGGGAGCCTGTGTTGAAGATAATTGACTGGGCGCAGGGACGATCTGCTGTCATCCATGCTGCCAGTCTACAGGGAGCTGCTGACGTACGACCTGCACATCATGGTCTACTCTGGCGATGTGGATGCCATTGTGCCGGTGAGCACCTCAGGTTCCCCCAGTCAGTGGCCCCTACCACTGGCCAGACAGACTCTTGGCATGGCAGGATGACACGGAGGACCGCCCAATCCCCACGCTGGCTTATTTCAGACTGCGCCATTTTTGCTTTGCATCTCAGGTCACCATATGTAGTAATTCTGTCTATTGACCTGTGGACGGCAGCCTGCGGATATGCGGTTGGGATGTGTGTTCTGGCCGAGCAAACAGGCATCACATGGCAAGATGCACTCACTGATGTTGCAGTTAGAAGAGCTCGTTCTCCTCTCCTGGGTCCACAGGTTGCAGTTTTTTTTTGCATTGATTTTCGGGCGAGAGGCAGCCCTTCCATTCCTGGCGTTTGCATCACCTCATTCCCCTCTATGACTCAGCATCAAATGGGCGTGTGAAGGATGGAAAAAGGAATTTGCCATTCAGGTCTGGTGCTGGCATGGATAATGCAAGGACACATGATGCTGTGGACAGGAAACCCTTGTAGCTGACAACCTCAGTGGTGCAGTGACACATGCTGAATGTGTCTCATGCGAACATCTTCCAGGTGACGGGTACACGCAACTGGCTGCGGAAGCTGGAGCTGCCGGTCGTGCGGAGCTGGCGGCCGTGGCGCTCGGCCACCGGCCAGATTGGCGGCTACTTTGAGCGCTACCAGGGCCTCACCTTTGTCACCGTTCGCGATGCCGGCCACATGGTGTGCGCTTGCTCCTTGTCTCACCGCAAGTTTCCGTCCTGCCTTCAGATACTCTGTGTTTGGGCAGGTTCTGATTTTTGACACAACTTTTCAGAGTTCTGTAGCTGCGTTGTTGTGTCCTGTTTGCTATGGCCATGCTCCTGGCGCCTTCCGGCAATCGAATTGTGGCCTGCCCCCTGCTTAGCTTGCATGCAGGCTCATCCTATCGATTGGTTTGATCAGGTTCACTGCTGCTGCACAGTGCCCTCGCCAAGTGGAAAAAGGCAAGAATTCTAGCTGCATCACTCCTGCAACGCTAATTGACACTGGGTGTGTCTGTTGCAGGTGCCATACACACAACCTGAGAGGGCGTCATTCCTCTTCAAGAAGTGGGTGGTTGAGGGATCGAATGATCCAACCAGCATTAACAGCTTCCTTTCCTGATGCCCACTGCCCAGGCATCCTGTGCACATAGACAAGTGACCGAATAGCTGGAGATATAGGTAATTACAATTATAATTTAAGGTGCGGGGCCACTCTAGTCGCAATAACTTGGCTGGGCACAACATTGAGTGCCGCAGCTTTAAGATTTCTGAGCGCATCCTGATTGTACATTCCTTTGATTGCGCCTTGCAGCACGGCAGCTGAATGTGAGTATTTCTGCTCCGCTTCGGTGCTGCATGAAGATGACTTGCGTGTGCCAATGTGATCACATTGGCTCATGACTTCATGGACATTCCTTCTGTGTACAAATTTTGCTTTCTGCGTTTGGCTAGAATTCTGCCTTCATACTTCACCCTGAGAAATCCAATGGTCAGTGCTGCATTGGGCTTTGATGGTGCTTTACTGGAGGATTCAGTTGCCACCATGATTTTACTTAGATGCATTCTGTTCAATGCCAATGTTAATATCGATTTCACAGTAATGTCAATACTACCAAATTTTCATTACAGATGAACAGGGTTGTCCCCCAACTGGACAGAACACTATGTGTTGCACGCCGAAAGCTGTACATGTAAAGATCGACTGATATGCTTAATGATCATTGAACACTTCATGTCCAAGGCTCCGAGCATTGAGACCATCTGGCCATCTGCAAAGTGCCCACACACAGAATATCACAGCACACATGACCGCCAAAACCTGGGACCTCCTGCTGATGATATCAAGAACGCGGCATAGGAGCCGAGTGGTGGAAGGGAGGACCATCCTCGGGGCTGTACAGGGTCTCTTCGCCACCACCCAAGCGCGCCTCTGTCACGGTTTCAACAGTGTTAGGCCCCAAGGAGCCATCCTTCAGGGCATCATCCTTCACCGACGAAATTGTACCCTGTGTGCGGCAAACATAGCGTTGAGACCAACTGACGCGTCATCGCAGCGGCTTCGGACACAGAGCCCGTTGTGCCGGTGCTGATGTGCTTAGAACACCAGCAGCAGCGGTCTGTTTATAAGCAGTCTGGGGAAAAGTACCTCTGATCCTACGGGATTACCGACCAACTTTTCGTGAAGCTTCTCCTGACTTGCAGCAGGTTCCTTGTATTCGTCATAGTCTGGCCTCGCGCTCCCCTGTTGCTGCTCGGCCTCCGCTCGATGCCTTTGGATCCTGTTGTGGGGCTCGTGACGATACCCTTATCCATTGATCATACAGAACACCAGATCAGTTCATATACCATTGCAAGAAGTCCTCCTCTTGAAAATCACGTCAAGTATGTTTTCTTTCAAGGTGCCATGGTGTATACTCATCCAGTCACCAAAGTGAGCCGACCTGGGGGCGTGTTACGTCGTTCAGCGTCGAGTACCATTGCAGAGGGCGGTTATGAGTCGCGAGATTCAAGAAGTTATTGGATCAGAAGTCTTGGGTGACAAAACATTACAGATGGGAGCGATTTTTGGGCAGCTGCAAACCTCGGACGTGTGTGCTTATTTTGGTCGCTTCTGGATGACTCATGCCGTCCACGACCACACTCCTCCACAAGAAATTGTGGCCGCTCAGATGTCTCGTCCTGGAGAAACAAGTAGTGCCCGGCTGTGTGGATGCACCCGTGTTAAACTTGAGAACGCCTGGATTCATCCCAGTCTGAATTGCCGAATGCGCTTAAAATTTGACAAGCAGTGCTTGAAGGTGCACCTTATTCTGTAGATTTGCATTGGTGTGCACTCAATGATGTGGCCCAAATCTGAGAGACATGGTCAAGAAATATCCGCAAGAGAGACGCCCAGTCATCATTGTTGTCACTTCTGGATTGGGTGCCTAGGCATGTTAGCTTGCATGCAAAACTTGCCTGATCATGATAATTGCATGCAGAACCCAAAGGAATGATGCTTAGAATGAGCTGCCTTGATACTGTGGTACTGTGAGTACAGACTGTGGAATATCCCAAAAAGGGCAAAAGGCAAACAGATAAATATAAAAAAGCGGGAGCTTCTGTTTCCACCCGGGTTCGAACCGGGGACCTTTCGCGTGTTAGGCGAATGTCATGACCAACTAGACCATAGAAACTCAGATGCCATACAGCCAAATCTAATATTAATGAACTCAGAACATCTCGATCCCACGCAGTGTCTGGAACATTTCGACGTCGCCTTGTATTCATTTCTGCATTAGCACATACGATATAAAGGAGTTGAGAGTCTCTCAACATGAGACAGTAGGAGCAATTGCAGTGCAAGGACCCGGAAGGTGTGGCCATCCTGCGCACAGCGAGTCCTTGGCCAGGAGCAGTGTGCTTCTCATACTGAAGTTCGACTTCATTGATTCTTTTACAAGAAATCAAAGCGGAAGACATGACGGACTACCGAGCTAAATTCAAAGCGGCAAAAGCACAGCGCGAAAGTGCAGTTCCTGGCAAGATGGTATGGATTCCACTCATAAAACAACCAGGACATAAACAATCGCGCTCCTAGTAAGCAGATGTCACATCTGTATGCATTGAAACAATTTTGGCTGAGCAAACGAAAGTATGCTGCACTTAGCTGAAGTCATCCTTGATGGTTTTTGCAGTCCAGGGAGGAAATCCGAGCCCTGAAAGCCAAAAAGGCAGCAGCTGCCGCTCAGGAAGCTAAAGATGCAGCCAACAAGCGAGAGAAAGAGGTGTGGCACCAAGCTGGTAATGCAACCTTGTACACCTTCACCAGCAGATGCAACAGATATGCAGAGCACTCCCGGGGTCGAGTACCTTCATGGTGTGCAAAGCTTCCAGGACCGTCGCACCTTTGCTTTCACAGAATTTATTGTGCACTGTGGTCCATTTCTGCAGTGCATGACTCATGGCACACCTTCAGTGGATGCATGTGTGCATGCAAGGGGGCAGCACGGGCAGCAGCCTCCTCTGCGCCTCCACTGCCCAAAATGCCCCCGCCAGCGCCACGGCCAGCAAAGGCCAGCAAGCCGGTGCCGCCTCCACCCAAATTCGGCGATCGAGTTCCATTCGGCCCAGAGTCCCAGGCGACCATAATCACAGCTGCTGGCGGCACGCCATCATCTGATGGTACCTCAGCAGGTGCACATGAAGTCATTCACATCTACCGCATACACATGTGCCACACCTAGATTCCCCGAGCCATCATGTCTGTTGTGAATGCCAACTTGTAGATTTCGAGACAACAATGGTCCGGACATGTCCTTTGCAAAATGGTAGATTTGCACGGCAATGTAGTCTGCCGTCATGGGTAGCAACTGAACAGTACACTTACCGAGCAGCAGCTTCTGTGCCACTGCCAGGTGTGGGACCCAGAATGTCAGCAGCTGCCAGCGTCGAGGCACAGTCCACTGGAAGCACAAATGGGCCGGGGCTGCCGTCAGGCTTCTTTGAGGAGGCTGCTGCCTCTGCGCCGTCCTCCCTTGAGACTGCTGCCTCGGAGAGCGGGCTGCCCAGCGGTTTTTTCGAGGCCCCTGGTGAGTTAGTCATTCACCCAACCCTTGCATCTTCCCCAGCTTAAAGCGCGCTCCTTACAGGCATCCCTGGGAGCAGGAGCATGTGGGTGGGGAGTCCTTGTCCGGCGCTTTCGGTGCTTCATCCATGCATGGTGTATGCATTGCAGCACCTCCCAAGGCACTGCAGTGTGAAGAAGAGCCAGGCAGTAGAAAATTGTAGTTGATGCAATACGTAGCCCTGCAATGAGTTGGGTGGGATTGCAGGCCCCAGTGGAGAAGATCAAGCAGAGCCTGTCGGGTTCACAGCAGTCAGCGAAGCACCACAAGAGCCGGAGTCATCCACAGTTGGCAGACTGGAGGGCAGCCTGCCAATAGACTTCTTCGAGGTGCGCCATTACCGTACCTGTGTTTAAGCAAATTGTGGGAGTCTTGTGTACCGAAGAGTGCACCAGGGCCGTTCTGCGCGCGACATCGGCTGGTTCATGTGCCGAGCTGAAGGGTCAGAGACAAAGGTCAGAGACTCAGGGTCACATGACGGGGTCACGTGCCGAGGTTCCGACAGAAAAGGGTCAAATGTGTGCCATGTTTGCAGGAAGCCAGAGCAGGAGACGGAGAAGCAGAGGCACAGGCTGAGGATCCAACAGCAGCTGGCCAGGCTAGCGCCTCCGGACAGCCAGACGGTTCCAGCGCCATTCCCAAAGGTTTGTTCCATGCGCAACTCGATAGCGTCTGATGCATGAGGCGCTAGTATCTGTATGGCAGATTTGTCAACATAATGTCAGAGAACAGTCTTGACTCCACAGGAAAGGAGTTTGTGACTGTCCAGTGTAGATTGCTAATTGCTAGATCGCTGCTAGTGTGATCGGATATCGTCTGTGAAGTTCTGCAGTTGCTAAAGTTCCACAGTGGAAAGTTTGCACGATTTTGACTGTTTGTTTAGAACTGTGCATGCCTGGCAGAAGCCCATTGTGGAAATCTAGCAAGCCTTGGATGAAAGGCAGAAGACTGTCAATTGTGGGCCCTCATAATCCTACTGGCCTTTTCAGCTTCAAGTTCTGTAGAGCAGGAGTGGTTGAGGGTAGACTTTTTGCGCGCAGGCTTCTTTGCGAATGCAGACGCGGATGCCAAGGCGCGCGGGGAGAAGCCGGCCAAGCCGCGCAGCAAAGACGAGCAGTTCACCGACTTTATGGCGTCCATCGCGGCCGACATGAAGGAGGCCCAGGCGCACGATGAGGAGGAAGCTGCCGAGGAAGCTGCCGAGCGTGCTGAGCGGGAACTGATTGAGCAGCGGTGCGCCGCACTGACATTCCAGTCTGTTTTTCATGTGCAAGCACGGATGATTAGAATTTCTCCCAGGTGTGGCCATGCTTGCTCAATGTTTGTTGCCTCTTTGTCAACCGGCCCTTTCTCTTCAACTACATTTGTTAGTGCAATGCATGAGACATTTTTAGCCACCTGATCAGCAAGCAAGGTGACAAATAAACGCTGAGCATTGTCTTTTTGCATAGGCTGCGCCAGCAAAGGATTGAAAGGATAAAGAGCAGGGCGCCATCATCGAGCACAGCGGCAGCAGAGGCACTGGGCTTTGATGAGGTGGAGCTCGACATCAGCAGCATTGCAGCAGAGGCGGCACTGCCGCGCAAACGGCGCCGACTGAATGTCTTGGATGTGGATGAGGATGTGGAGGATGAGGACAGTGAAGACGACGATCTGATGCTGGACTGGCGAGCAAAGACTGTCTGACATGTGAATTTCTTAGAGAATTGGGGGTACAGAATGCTTCGGCTGTCCTTCGCTATTGGTTGTCCCTGGAGTGCACGGTTTGGCAGGCTATGTGCTCAGAGATGTTGCTATTGTGAGGTTTATGTGCTTGCTTCTTAATTGTCGAGTGTGTTTAGCTTTCAAGACTCGTGACAGCGTCGTGTCAGAATTCCAAAGCATTTGCCATGAGTGTCAGGCAGAAAGGCTTGAACCATGATGCCATGGTGGTGTCCTATTAAAGGGCACTCAGTCAATATGCATGTGCACAGTTATTGAAAGCAGTGTTGACAACTCCAATACATCGACGGGCCACTTATCAATCGTTCATGTCTCACGTTTTCCCATGCATGTCCCAACAAATACGGTATGTACCTTGCTTACATTGTTCCTGCCTGCTGAATCAGATCGAATGTTGCAGTGGCATGCTCTCTGATGTGCATCCCACTCCAGGCCTTACACAAGAACATCAGGCAAGACCCTCAGATGCCATGATCCCCCTGAGCTCATCGCACTTGCTGGTCTGCTGCATCTGCAACAAGTGGCAGCCTTGCAGCCTGCCCAATCAGACAAGACCCCTGCACCAAGTACATACTTTTGAGTCTAGCAGTGACACTGGTAGAGGATGATTTCACAGGAGCTGCTGAGGGAGATGTGTGGCGCGACTAAGGTTGATCTCACAGGCCAGGACCCACCATTGCATACAGCACAGCTAGGAATACAAAGAGGAAGATGGTGTTGTAGGCGTTCATGTACAGCGACAGGCCAAATCCACCCGAGGGGGGCCTCAAAATGTTTTCTAAGAGCCCCGGCACACTGCGCACCATAATCGACATGAAAAATTCAGTCTTCCAATGTCCTGGATGTGTGAGATATCAGTCGAGGTGGTGCATCCTGACACTCAAGGTGCGTGTTTGCTGCTGAGTGCTGGATGTGCAGCTCGATCCCAATGTCATACTTAATGTTGTCTGACATTTATCCACATGCGGATTTGAAGTCATCTTGACAAGTCACAAACAGGTTAAGCAAAGCACGTGCAGTGGCCTGAAATTAGAAGCATGAGGTGAGTCCAAGGCATGGTCACATGTTCAGCCAGGACGGAGAAGTATGGGCTGCATCATTAGAGAGGTGACGCACATGAGGATGATGTCCAACAGGATAGCCTGCAATGCATTGTAGCGGACGAAGCGCGAGAAGTTCTGGTTCTGCACAATGCCACCGTATATGGCAAAAAAGACTATGAGGCTGCGCCCACAGAGAGATGCCATCAGGACACAAACAGTGGCTGGGACAGCTACTATGAGTACCAACAATCCAAAGGGGCCTCAAAGCAACCAAGCTTCACCCAGCAAAGGGAAATGGACAGAACAAACGCGGCTTGAACAACAGGGTTGCGCACCTGGCAAATGGAAATGAAAAGTAGAAGCTGATCAGGGGGTTGAGAGGCGCTAGCAGCCTAGGCAGGAAGGGGAACTGGAGAAACAAGAACCTCCCTGCATTACAGATATATTGAGCTAGTTGACAGGGTGGTACAAACATGCTTGAGGCAAAAAGTAAGTTGAGTTGACAGCGTGGAGGCAGGTGAAGCATCTCACCATATTTGATACCATCAAATAATGGCACAAGGTATGGAAGAGCTCCTACAGCACGGTCTGCAAAATCAACGTCCTTCGCTGCGAACACTTGTACGCCTCTGCATCTCCTGGAAGTGTGCCCTTGTTGCTGTGAGGATGAGCGTGGCACGCTCATTCCAAGCATCTCCTTTGAAGACCTACACAATCCATGCTGCGGATGTCTATGGAAACTTTCATTATGCTGCTGAGGTGTGAGAGCCTATCAATGGAAGCTTTATAGTGCGAGACCCGCTC